TAACTCTCTGTTATTGTGCCGAGTTTTTTTTTTGCTAATTAATTACGAGCTGCGTGTTCGCGTGCTGCCAGAAATTGCTCGCGTTTTGTTAAGATTCCACGGATTGCACTGATTTTTCAGGTTTTGCTGAAGTGATTTTCGTTGAAGTTCCGACGACTCGATTGCGCTTTGTAGATGAAATTAAACGAGGCGCCTGTGATAAATAAATCAGACGAAGCTGGATTGACATCTGTGACGAAACCATGATTAATTTCTCGTATGTTTGGGCGCGATTAATCGACGTTAGCGACCGCGTTCTCGATAAACCGAATAAACTTTCGCGCCAGTACCTGGAGGGGGGCGGAGGAGGGGAGGGCTGCATTAAGGTATTAATGGTCGCACGAACCGGTAACATTGTAAACACGATCGATGATACTATCGTGTAACCGAGTGCATATACCGAGATTTTATCTTTTATCGTGCTTAATTTAGCGCGTCGAGTATGCGCGTACGTTTCGTACTCCCAATTTTATTTGCGGGTTTTGAGATCAACTGTGCGATATCTCTGTAAAATCTCTTCAAATGTAATATATCGCATATATATATATATATATGTATATACACACCTCGCTTTTACATTAAACAGCTTTAATTTAATCGTAGAATTCACGTAATATGCAGTACGAAGTGCATGTGTATCAATTCAGTGAGATTTATATCACATTATATTATATATTTATTCAGGTTGAATTTAGATTGTCAGTATATTTAGACGATCAATTTATTATTATTATATTTTATTTACTTCCAACTATGGATTCTAATTTAGACGTGACAGCGAAGTTGATGATTTAAATATCGGATACATGGAATATTGAATACTACAAATAAAATGCAATTTTACTTTCGTGTAACACGTTTGTGTAAAACTGTCGGGCATCGTGACGAATATCAGATCGATTGTCACTCGATACGCGCGTTTAACGCGTTTAGCAAGTTTCAGCCTCGCTGCCGCGCGATGTAATTAATCTACATGAATTTAATATGTCTGGGAAACCATCGTCAATCTGTCGAAAGTTAAACGGATGTTGATGGCGCGCAAAGGGCCGCTTGAGATCCAAAAAGATATTGCGCGAAACTCAAAAAGGAAACTATCGATCGGATTATTATTTAGTTGTTATTTTTAATGATCGTGGGATATGCATGCGCTTGTACCGGTCCTTATAGTCATTCGATACTACACAGGGAGAACAAAGTGACGGTCGATGCGAAACATCCGACAAGATTACACGGTTTACATAAAAGAGACGAGGCAAACACTTCCTAATGACGTTTACAGCCCGGGTTTGCGCGTATATAATATTGAACTTGCAACTGATACCTCTCTTACCTCCCCATTTCTAAAGCTTTCATGGCTCGTCGATGTTTGACGGGAGGGAATCTCGGGACTCTCCCGCCCGCGTTGCTCTAATTAGTACTGTTCAAATAAAACACGGGAGTTATATCGCGCGCTACAAAATGATCCCTCCTGACGTCGGTCGGAAAGATAACGTTCTCTTAGCGAAAGTCTTAATTAGCGCGGTGTGTTTTACGATTAGCTGGCGCGGAGTTTGCACATGGGAAGTCGGGATTTACGAAGCGGCGCTCGTTCTCGTTATACGTCACTTGTTCCTTATCGCGACTTTGGCTGCTGTCCAATTACGAAATAACGGAATTAGCGCCTTGCACGTTATATAACTCCACGCGGCTAATTGTGATCGATGACGGCCGCCCCCGTCCGATCTGTCAAGTCGGCGTATCGGCCAATATGTAATTAACAGAAATTGAAGAAATCGCCGATATCCACCGGCGATAGCGTTTGCTCGTTTGCATGATGCTGAACGTGGGTCGTATACCTAATTAAGGGCTGAAAGTTGGCCGAACGGTCGTTCTGGCGAAACAAAGTTTATTAATTAAGCTCGTTTAAAAGGCGAACTTCAGGCGCGGCCTCAATCGCTCACTCCTGCGTCGTCATTTCACGCTCAGCCAAATTATGTATTAGCACTCGAGGCTTGTAATATAGCGAATGTTTATAGTCTGCATATTAACTCGAATTTTTTAATTGCGCCGCTCGTGCAGCATCGCGTCTCCTCAATTGAGCGTTAACAGTTTATTTCCCGCGAGAACAGAGATCGAGTGATGTTATTATATGTACTTTTTATAAAACAAAATTAATGCGGTTACGGGAACCGTGTCATGTTGTCACAATTAGTTGGTTTTAATTAGCCTTAATTGGCAATTTCGCCTGTTGTGTGCTGCATCTATCACGGTTTGCAGTTTTTCGAGATTTTCTAATAAAGCTCGAGCGTTACCCGAGAATTTTCGAGTTGAATCCAAATTATTCAAACTCTCTCTCTCTCTCTCTCTCTCTCTCTCTCTCTCTCTCTCTCTCTCTCTCTCTCTCATCTCTTTTGATATTCGCTGACTTTTGATACAGTGATTCCTATGCTGACTTTTGATATAGCGATTTCTATGCTAATAGAGACTCTTCTTCATCATGCGATTTCTTGGGGAAAGCAATGTGCACCTCGTACTCGTTTTTAGTGTTTTCCTCGAAAATCGTAAACAGGGGAAGTCATTTCTTCAGGTGATCCAATTTGGCGCAACTCGCGATAGGGATTTACAGGGATATTTCACCGAATGTGCAAGAAAACAGGGACACGCCACGCCCTAAATTCGTTAATTTCCTGTTCACCCTCGTCAGGAGCGGAGTCATCTCGGTCTTTTTTCTTCGTGCATCTCGCGCTATTCAATAATCTCGATCTCGGGTTCTGGTCGCCAAATTGAACATTTTCTCGCTGACGTTTTTACGGTTTCGCGGTTCTCCCGCATCTCCATTCATTCGCTTTCAGCCGAACACAATTGCCTTCCATCTTTCTCTCTCGCCTTCTCGTTAAGTCATTCGTATGCTTAAATAGGGATTATCCCGACCACTTTAAACCTAAGTCAATACACTCGATGAGATTTTGCACAGAAATGGCTGCCGACCTGTTTGCGTAGCGATACAATCGTGCTGCCGATAAAAGGATTAGTCCTCGTTTTTGCCGGAATTTTACGTCGAAATCTCATTATGACAGCGCGAAAGAAGGCTGAGTGAAAGATGCAATTTGTCGCGAAGCTGCGGTTATTACGTTGACCGTCGAGGATAGAATATTTTGAGTGAGTCTACAAAAATAAGACGTGTCTCAATAATAGGAAAAATAATAACTATGTCGTTAACATATTCTTAATTTGCGACTCGTGTAAGCTCGAGATAGTTGAGTAAACTTCGAGAAGGAATTTCGAATTCGCGCGATAGCCTTTTTTCTTGGACGGAGAGGGAACACAAACGTTAGCGTCCACTATAAAAAGCTTTTGCATTCTGCATCAGGTACGACGCGACGCGCGACGGTAGGATAGTGTCCGTGACAATGACAAAGGAACGCATTAATTTTCCTAGCGGTAGATGCATTACCTACCTCTAAAGAATTGCGTGGCCGCAATTTTATGGTTTGTTCAATGGCACAGTGTGTTGTTAGGGGGAATTTTTTTATCCTTTTTTTTTCATTTTCTATAACACAAACAATGTTTAGAAAATATTGCAAAGCATACATTTCACACACAGATACATTCGTACACTGCGACTTTTAATAATAACTTTTATTTCGCTTTGATTTTTTTCAGTCAATAAATTGTATTTGCGCTTTTATTGAAAAATATCGTACTCTCTTATTTATACTTATATCTATAAATTCTTGTTACCTCTTGTGAAATTGATATTTATTATATAAAATGTAATTTCAATAGCTTCAGTTTCGCATTTTGTACAATCTAAAGTATGTGTTCCCTTAAATAGGATTAAGTTTGGAACCAGTAAGAACTTTAGTTATAGAAAATGATTACGTTACTTTTAGTATATGGAGTATGCGATTGATATTAGAAAAACTAAGGCACAAAATGGTTTGTTAGAAAGATGAGAGCCGCTTAAAAGTTACCGTAAAAACTATGTGAACTGTTTCCTAGGTTTCACGAGATTGGCATAAATACGTTTGCAATAAATAGGTATGTACTACATTTAGCAGATTTCCCGAATAATCCTTAACGTTCTACGAGTTCTCGAAAATTCATGTGCCTATTAACGAAGTTTTCATTAAATCCAGATTAAAATTTAACCTCGCAGTTTGATGAAAAGTCTCTTAAAAATAAGAGGATTAAACTATTGCTTATAATATTACTTATATAAGTACTAAATTTCTCGAATAGAAAAAATTTAATAACGCAGTCTAAAAGCAGTCTGAAAGACATATTTTACTTTTGTCGTGAGAAAGTTACCGTCACAAAATGAAGACGACGCAACAATAAATTCACAGCAAAAAAATATCCATGATCAACCGTAACTGAAGCAAAAGCACTTGCATAATTGCGCACCGCATATTACGAAAATTAAAGAGCGCTCGTAAATTACTTTAAGGTAAGACGAGACGTAAAACACCCGTACTCTTATAGCTCAACAGTCTCCTCGATGCTAACCGCGCGGAGATCACGATGCATTTTGCGCGAGCAAAAAAGAACTACGATTCGGAGTGGGCACGGCCAAGGCTTTTCAATTTGCAAGCGTGCATGCGCATAGTTCGCCAGTCTGATGCACCGTTCCGTAATCGTACGAACATGCTTGTAAACGTTTATTTCGTTCTTTCTATATCTTTTTGCCAATTTGCAGGAAGAGAGTTAATTTTGAAAGTGCTACGTTATTGTTTTCTCTGTGTAAATATATCGTTTATATAATCTCATTTAATATTAAAGTAAAATCTTTTGAAAAATTATTTTTTAATAATTGAAAAGAATTAAATTAAAAATTCAATTTCTTTCTCTCTCGCCCTTTTATTCTCTTAAATATTCTCAATCAAATGTGTTGTACAAGCATCTCAAGCTTAATATGATTTGATCACAAATGCGATGAAAGATTTAATCCGTTAAAGTTATCTCGAATAATCCATCATCTATTCGGGGTAACTTCCGGTTCGATCAGAATCAATCTTATCCTGAATTCTGGTCAGAAGAGGTCTATTATTGGATAAAGGAGTGATAAAATTCCTTGTGACTTCCGGCTTTGCGAATCCGAATTACGTGTAATGGCAGGATATTAAGAAAAATCGGCGCCGAATTCAGCACGCAAGTTTCGTTCGTTTGTCGGCAGAAATTGCTTGTTCGTCACGACACGTAAGCCGTCCCCGCACGTATGTATCATGTATATATACGAGTTAACGGGCGCTTTTGAATTCCATTCCGCGACCGAATGAGTGTGCAATAGCTGGACGAGATTCATGGACGATTCTCTCTCATCAGAATCACCGCGCGGCGATTTCGTTCTCGATTATTTGTAGCTCAATTGCAGATTGTCGGCCACGCAGTGACCAACACACGTGCTTACATTCGTTTGCCTTTGTCGAGGTGTTCGTCTCGAATCTGCATCGCGTTTCGGAACAAAGTGATCCTGTAAATTGCAGAAATTCCGAGAATGTCACTGCCATCCCCGGCAAAAACCGAACAACTGCGTACCTTGCCAGCGGACGAGTGTGACGTGGTTTTGCGAGACGTATACATCTAAATTTCGTCATTAGCGAATTCACGAAGCGCCATTGCGAAACTTTAAAAACCGCATTTTCATCTTTACTCGGACCGTGCGTTACTGATACGCTTCTAGCGTATCTAGACGTTTTACAAACGAAAAGTTATAATATTGAATAATGGTGCGTAATTACAATAATCGTTTTGATCTTGATTAATTAATCGGCAATTGTTCTGTAGTAAATGTACCGAATAAAAAATTTTTATCTCGTCATTAATCGAGATAAAAAATTGTTAGATTAACGCCTTCGGGTGTGTTTGACTTTAATCTTGATTCTTCAAGGCAGAATCATTTTTTTTAGCGTCCATAAAGGCGTAAAGTATTTCACAGACTGAGGAATTGTCGCGATAAGGGGTTCATCTTACGAAGTGCACTAATTAAGTAAGAGACGCTGGAAGGATCAAACCTCCCGAGACCGTGGCTGGTAATAATGCCGTTAGGATAGGATCTCGCGCCTTTATGAGAGTCCCCTTGGAAAGTTAACGGTTAACTCTTCCACACAAGCGAAATTATTATCTTAATGAAGAAATTTTAGATAACTGCGAGCCATACAATAAATCCACGTCCGCGGGAATTTGGAAAAAGGTATCGTTAAATACCGCTCTGCGGTATTTGCATATTAGCGCGCGATTGCAAAAGTTTCGCGCTTTAACGTAATTCCCATAACATTTACAATAATTATCACAATATCCGCTCGATAGCCCGCGCGTTAATGCAACCCTTTATGCCGTCATTGTACATTTCCACAATAACGGCTTGAATTACCTTTAATCGGTGGTATAATATATAACGCTCTGTGAGTTTTATCACGGTGATGAACGCAGTGTCGTATTAAATCGTTGGTTACGCGATACACGTGCAGTTAGCTGATCATTACGTTGGAATAACGATTAAACTTGGTGAATCAACGCCCTTTCCGCTTCATCGCTTTAAAGATCGTTTTTACAATACTATCGAGAGCTAATTTAATTTTATCACATTATCTTTGTCGAATTTTCGATTCGATATGATACATGTGTAATGGTACTTACAAGCGATTTATTCGCTCTGGAATTGACGTAAGTTCGACGGTAGAAAAAGAACGCACATTCTCTAAGCGAATAAAAATGTTGAACGATCCTCGATACATAATACATTGGACTTACTTTCCATTCTGTTTGCTTCGGTAGAACTGCGTGGATGTCTTTTGTGTTTTTTTTTTTACGGAAGCCGCATAAATTGGTGCTGTATCAAAAATGTGCATTTGCTCGTAAAGAAACACGTTGGAGATTTATAAAACAGGATACCGCCGCGCGTATACGATCGACTTTCAGTCACATTTGCGCTCTATAAAGGCACCATCAAGACGCGAAGAACAATAAAGTTGAGCGTATCAGGCGAAGTATAGGAACGATTCTAAAACGGGTCTCAAGTCGAGGATTTGATTCATCTTCGGTACGCGATAATAATGGAAAAAGTCCGAAGATAAAAGCAGATTGCGTAAAGGTTAAAATAACCGGATATCAAGCAAGACGTCTTGCTATTATTGGCGTGAAAGTCTCTTGTGATTACGATATTGACAATTTGAAGCTTATATTTTCAACTTTCCTTCTCGTCTGTAATCTTTTTGTCTTAATTTTATATCAATATAATATATTTTATACTCTTCAGAAATATATATAGGTTAAACAAAACATAAAATTTTACATTGCACCGATGTTAATATTGTGTTAAAGTAATGTTAAAATATCAAGATGGGAGACTGAAAATAATAAATAGCAGAAACTCGTCGGATTTTTTAAATAAAATATATTAAATTCCGTCAATTAACATATACCTTGCCGATGTTTTTTGCGATTGTGTCTTTTAATCCATCGCTGCAAAAACGAATACAATTGGTGACATTCAACCAAGAGCGAATCAATATTTTAACATATATGTTTTTACATAACCGTTTGTTGTATAAAACGTTACGCCGACTACTCGGATTTCTCGCTCAAGCGTTGATTACACTTATAGCATTGTAATTTCATTTTTTGCTTACAAGATCGTCAAATTATCTTCTGTCATTTATAATCTTTTGTCATTTGATATATACCACTCTGAAGAATTATATTTCCTATCGAGCTTTCGAAAAATATGACTGTCGTCGAGTATACATTTTTCTCTGTAATAACGTAATATTTCTTCTCTCTTCAAATATTTAATATTATTAAAAATTAAAATAGTTGATTGAAATTTTACGTGAATATTAAGTTAATTTTATATTTTCGTATGTGAAGTGTTAATATTAAAATGTGATGTAATTACCTTTCAGTATTAGATTTCAACTAATTTTTTGCAAACTAGACTTATTCTCTTCATTTTTTAATATTGTCACGTTATTCTTTCTTTACCGAAAAGTATAGTGTAGCTTTTTACGGCATACATAATTCATGTGCATACATATACAAGATTCAACATACATATACAAGAGACGCGAGAACAATTGGTATGCGCATGAAACATTGATCGAAAATGGACGTAATTTCCGTTGTTTCTCTGTAATTGCGATCTCGCAACGAAAGTGCTTTGACGCATGTTGAAAAAAAAAATGTATACATCCACGGGAGAAAATGCGCAGAGCCGTCGTTACATATTTTACGTACGCTTTTCTGCCTGTTTCGTTTGTTATTTAATTTACCAGTCAATTTTCAATTCGTGATGTTGTCTGGGTATTCCAAACGTTAAATGCAAATGTCATTGTAAATTAAATTAAAACTCTGGATTAAGGCGACGTCGTCGTGCATTTTTCCGGCCGTGCACGTGTCCGAAGCAGAGGTTCGCCGAAATTTCTCTCGCTAATGAAATTAGCACGAAATTAGAAAGCGCTTCGCCAAAAGAGCGCCAAACAAACCTAGTCCGTTAATGAAAAAAGATGACAGGCAGTTCGCGCGAGCTGCATTTTTGCCGCAGAGAATCCAATCGTACGGTAATGAATGGAACTCAATTTTGCAGCACAATGGCGTTTACGTTGGGCGTGCACAAAGCGCGCGACAATGAAATAGTCATAAGACGTATACCTACTTCGGTAGAAAGTAATTCCATTTATCTGTGACTCCTTCGTCGCTCTCTTCCTTCTCCTCCTCCTCCCCCCCTTCCTCCCACCCGGACGCAAATCTCGCCGAAGGCGAACGACCGTCTCACCGCGTCACAATAAATTTAATTTCATCGAATTCTCGAGATGTAATTTTCGTGATGAATTACGCTTATTTATTCATCTTGGCGAGTCCATGTCACTCCCGCGATTTCCGTTCGTGAACTTATTTGCACGCTACTTTAAGCTCAATAAACTCATGGACGATTTTTTAAATCGAATTTCAAGTTGCACGCTCTAACGGATCTTGTCTTTGTCTTTGTGGATTAATAATAAATTATATGTATATTCAGTTTGGAATAATTGAGAATTTGCAACAATGATCTTCGCTAATGTTTTTGTTTAAAAAAATTAGCTAATTCGTAAAAAAAATTTTGCGCTTTGTTTTAAAATCACTTCACGATTGCATTACGAAAGTGCAAAGGGTATTTGCATTACTCGTTTGAAATTATTTGCACCGACCGTCGCATCGATTCGATCCTGTGTGGCGTAAAGCCTCGCTATTTCCGCGGTTCAGCTCTCTACAGGATGGGGAAACACCCTCAACAAGAAGCGGGCCAAAGCCAATTCCGTCCGATTTCACGGCTGTTCCGTCACATCCGCTTAGTCTCGCCGAGGCGATACAAAGCGGTCCTATTTGCCTGAAACATCTTCCTTCCCTTTGCCGCGCTTTAAATCGAGTTACGGGGAACTAAGCGGCGTTATAAAATTCACAACGTGCGACGAATTCAGATACTCTGTATTCACATTTTTGTAGCCGTGTCCTTGCCCATGAAGAATCTTGTTGCTCGTATAAACTTTTCCAATTTTCTGCCCTGGGTATCACGGGGATAATTACTAAAGCTTAATTCGAATTTTACACATAAATACTAATTCGCGATATAAAAATGGGGGCACTTTATACGAGAGTTGCCAAAGAAGCATTTTTCAATTTTTTTTATAGTGGATTTAAAGGGAGAGAACACAGTTTTATCATATATATTTACTTATATATATTATATATATAACAAAACAAACTATTTCTATACTTAGATTCTCAAATATAAAAGAAAAGGGGTAAGTTATCTAAGTTTGGACGTGTGTAACTTTATCATAAATTTTGAAAAATAGAAAACGTATGTTTTGCTTCTAACTACTTTACACTTTGTTTGTTAATAGTCATAAAAATCATGCTAAATCTATTATTTGTGAAGTAAAGTTACTAATAATGTCAAGTTGCAATCGTTATTTATAACAGACGCGATATGTGATTTAATTATATATTAATTTCAAAATGCTCGCCGTTAACACACAACGAAGATTACATGATTTTCGTAAAGGCAAGGAAGCGCGCTATACAATTTCGCACAGTTTGGTCTCAAAATTTTATTCCCGTATACGTATCATTCAGGAAAACCGAGGCGCACGCGTAAAACATCGGCATGTAATACGGGCCGACGGATAATTTGAAACCCGATAATCGATGCTTCTACCAGACCTGCACAAGATATCGGCCGGCACATCATCCACGCCAAGAAAATATTTATACGGAAGTGAACGTCAAGTCGAGCACCGCGTGCGCGCGCGCGCGCGCTATTATAATAACCGCATCGCATATTCACATGGTCGACATTCCGAATGCGCGCGCGGGGCTTCGCCATCCGAACAATTTACTCCCTTCGTCCTATTCTTAACCGCGATGACGCACATCTTCTTCTCGGTCGCGCGCGGATCCGTATTTTATTGTCAACCCTTCACCGGCATCACGAGACCCGCGAGCGAAAATGCAATTGCGCGATGCACGTCACTCACAAGCCGAATTGCTCTCGTTCGCTTATAGCGCGCGGCGTAACATGCAACCCTCTCTTATCTGTCATCGCGACTCTCCTCTCCCATGCAGTGTTGTGCCGCGCCATCGCGCGCGCCGTGCCGTGTAACGCCCACGAAAACATATTTGTACGAAGCAATTAGATCCATTTCGGAATCCGTCTCTGCCACGCGTTTTACTTACACCCGGAGGAGGAAATAGTTAGTTAGATTGCATAACTTGTCTTAGTCTCGTAGACGCGGTGTAATCCAAGAGACGAAGCCAGCGTAACTTCGGTGAGCTTCAAATTTGATGCCATACAGATAGGTACATGAGAATGATCTCTGTTTAAATTGAACGTTTTATCATTTGAATTGTAACTACGATAGTGATTTTACGTTTCTCCTGCGTTTATAGAATTAAAAATTGAATTGCCCGAAATGATTCTTTTAATTATAACGGTTATATCCGACAACAATATCGTTTCAACAGAAATCTTTCGACTGAATGTACATAATTAATTCTTTTCGCAATGTATTTATTATTCGATTATGGACGAATGTAAATATATTTTAAATTTCGTATATATATTTATATGTTTTTAATATAAATAAAATTTTTATATTATGTTTAATATTATGTATCACATTAAAGAGAAGCATTAAACGATGATCAATAATGCATATAACACACATGTTTCCGACGCATCGGCCTTCGCAATTTAGTATTGCTAATTATAAACGATGCTGATGCGTAATGAAACGCGTAATTATCATATGATTATCAGCCGTAACGTGATCGTGATCGATTTTGGGATGATTGTGGGACGCGACTCAAATTTCATTTCGTGATAATTGTGGAAGCGTACGATCGTGCGCATTCCTAACGTTAATATTAACAATATCTCTTAAAATATAAATAGATAAATACAAATAGATAATTTTGAAGGAACAACATTATTAGTTATTATTATGATAAGCATCAGAGAGAGTTTAATGTCAGTAGTTTTACGTTTAACGTTCCGTGTGTCACACTTATTCCTTTTATAATCGATCAGTTAGCCATGTTGAGTTAAACTCATATCAAACGTTAGAGTGCAATTTGTGATCGAATCGCAGAATCAATAAATTCCGTTTGACATCGCAGTGAAGTGCGCTCATCCTCGTGTCACAAGGAATTCTTGAACACTTCCATGCTATATTAAATTTCGATTCCCTTTTGCTCACACATTCATTCGTATAATTCAAAATTTCAAGTACACTCTAATAACAGTGCAAGAATTTAAAATTGTGATATCACGTTTTAGATCTTGTTAAATACGTAATCGTATACACGGTCGAGGCAATAAGAATGGATTGGCTTAATTATTCACCAAGTCGGTCGGGGACACGCGGGTACCTGCAATAAACATCGAATGGTTCTTTATTGAAGCTACACCGTATTTGCAATTTTCTGCCTTTACACTCCGCCGTGGCTTTGCCGCCGCTCCGCTTTTTCCGAAATGCAGCTGCCCGTATGAATGTTTGATCGGGGCAAATGTTGAAAGCATTGCACATTTTAGCGGAAAAATATTCTTTGAGGCAATCTTTTTCTTCTCCAAGATTTTATTCGTGCAATTTCGTGATCGCCGAGGCAGGAATATCAGAGTTAATTGCGAAGGTAAATTGTTACAACAAAGGCTCGCCGGTACAATGCTTTTTAGGAATTCGCA